CATTGATAAGAAACCTCCAACCTTTGTCTCATTTTTCAGCATAGGCCTATACGCATGGGTCCACCCATTGTGCCAGCACGTCATTCTGCGGCGGTGTTGTCATACTTTTCATATCCAAGGTTTGTCAGATCAGCATAGTGACAAATCTATTCTAAAATACACTGATTTGCTTTTTGCAGGAGGCTCAACTGAATTCCTGCTGCATATCTCGTTAGTCATATTTTTCAACTGAATGTATCGCCACAAAGGCCTCTTCTGTTTCGTGAGGTCGCAGTGTATTTCCTTGAAGAGTTTCCGGAAAGTTTTTTGGCAGCACACGATTGCCCTTGTCCTTTTTGGGGCTCATCGGCAGATGGAGTGATGGTGATGTGTCAAGCGCACTGGAAGTAGTAATGTGACTTCACGACCGAGCTCTTGTCTATCTCTTGCGAGAGCCCTCAAGCGCGGGAAAACTGGCGACCGCGTTCTATATTAAAGCAAAAAAGAGAATCGACAACACCGTATATGACAAGTGAACCCGGCAATCATCTTACCAGTGACTTCTTTCTTTCAAGCAACCGCGGTCAGATGCTAAGATCTCAGGGGTGTATGTGCGGTTACTTAGCAAAATTCAATCAGACTATCCGTGTCGACTTATTTCGTAGCTATTTTATTACCGGAACATTTATTCATGTTTTTTAGTAAACAGTTTTCACCTGGTGATGCACTGTGCCTGCCATTTGTCACCCTACACGTGTACCATGCCTTGGCAGACATACTCCAATTCGCCAGTGAGTAAGATCCCATTTAAAAATACCGTTCAGCTGTAACATTCTTCCGGTGCCTAGCTGCCATGCTACCCGAAGGAAGCACGAGGGCTTGGATACTTTTAGGTTGCCCAAGCCTAGACAGGGGAAGTCGAGAAGCAGAGGGCGGGTTCGAACCACGGACCTTCCGGTCGGTAAATTCGCGCTCTAACCACTTGAGCCCCGTCACGAAGAGACTTGACCTTACCGTGGTGTGGAGGTTTATGTACCTCGGTGACCCATTGAGCTATACTGGGGAGTGTCCGCACGATGCTCACAGAGTCTCTCATACCAGGTTGGTCCATGGGTAGAGGTCCGACGAACACAGTCTCCTGGCCCTCCAGGTTGGGGGTTGGAACATGTACGGCGACGTGTTCCGTGAAAAAAGGTAATGTACTTGCATTTCCAGCCGAACACCGCTGCCTTGCGGTTAGGCTTTTGAGCCAAAGGCTTTGGTTGAGGACCTTAATCGTCCTCCTGTCTAGGTCTGGGCGCCCTGGCAGTATCCCAGCCAACGTACAACCATGAACTGAACACTTGAGCCATCTCGCCCATATCTGCTTAATAGTGTATTTTTAACACGAATTCCTTGGATCAAGTTGAACTGTTGGAACCTCGTTTTTGTAATTGTTTGAAGTGTCTGGTTCTTTTTACTGCCAACTAACCTGAGAACTTAGTGAGTGACCAATAAGTTTGTTTCCCATTGGCTGTTATTCGGATTGGAGATCGAAAGAGACAAACCAATAGAAGTCCTTGAGAAGTTTCGGTGCGTCGGGTGTTTAGAGTGTACTGATGATGCGAAGCCCCACCGAACAGGTCAACAACACATGGTAGTGGCATCTAGTGTAAGCGACTGTGGTACCTCCGTGTCGTCATTCGCTCGATCAGCAGTCAGCGTACTCTTGATGAAACAGCTTTCCGCGGACGTTCTTGGGTCCGGTAGCGCCGCAATTTGACTCCAGGAACCCAAGCGTAGTTCGTACGCGGTTCTGAGTTCCGAGCCACTTTGCTGAACGGTTTTATCTGGTCTGATATGTTTTCCTGTTCTTTTACAGTGCTTTTATCTCAGCTGCCTGTAGCTTGGGAGTATTGTCCGGGCGGTTAAAACCGATGACCTGGGCAGATTAAGTTTTGTTTGATGGGTATCAAGGGGATACTCATTTTTCAGTCTGTTCTTAATTCCTGACAGTTCTTTTTTTGTTAATACTACTGACGGTAATAGTAATATCAGTCGTTTACCTTTCGACGCCACCGTGCAACTCGAAAAAGGCATGATAGCTGAGTTACTACCAGGTTGCTCCATCGTAGACAGGGGCAACTGAAGAGTCATGGTTAGATTAGACTGACGGATTTTCAGGTTAGTGGTTGTACATCTGATAGATCTCAACCAACTGTTGCAAGAAAGTATTGTCCAGATGAATTAAATCATTCCCGGGTCGTGTGCGGGTTGTGTTGTCAACGATGGGAAAGCCTGCTAGGTGTAAAACGATTTATTTCAACTAAGGTACCCCATTACCTATTTCTATGGAGTATGTAGCATCTACTCTAATGTGACCAGTTTAATTTGTCCCCGTTTAATAAGACCACCTTCCAAACAGGGGCCACTTTTTCAGCGCGTTTAGGTACATTTTAATGGTTAGTCCTGCAGTAGAAGCCGTAGGGTCAAACTCTGTAGGTGACCTTTCCACAGAGACACGTTGCCTAATCTGGTGTTGTTCGTAAAGGTTTTAACTTTGGTTTTTGTACCACAGATGAGAAAGATCCGTGAAACCCCTGCATGAAATAGTGGGTAATATGGAGAATTATGGATAGCAGGCCGTAGGGGCGACGCCTTTTCCTCTCGGGTGACTGCCGCGAATTGAGAAGCAGCACCGTTTGTAAACTTGACTATTTCACCTCATTGGAGACTTAGCTGGATCACAGATCTCGACAGCATGGCACTGTGGTCGCTAATTTTGTTCCAACCTTGTTTAACACAGCATTTCCATTCACCTCAATGCCGTGAGTACTGGGTATGCGTGCATGAATCGATTCTGCGTGTATGCCTTGTTGTGCAATGTTGGACATTTGTCCTACTATTTGGCCGAGAGAGCAACACCCACAAACCTGACCAGCTGCTATTGATTGGAACTCGTTGTGTTCAGTCTAATAGGTCAACCGAATCGAGATTGTGGCAACGAATTTGGCCTCAGAATGTGGTTGGTCGGGAGAGAGAAAGCAAGACGAAAACTGTTCATATGATTGACAGCTGTAGCGTTCATCTGTAGCACCCTCCTGGTGCCTAGCTGCTATGCCATCTGAAGGAAGCACGAGGGCTGGGATACTGCCAGGTTGCCCAAGACTAGACAGGGGAAGTCGAGAAGCAGAGGTCGGATTCGAACCACGGACCTTCTGGCCAGTAAATTCGCGCTCCAACCACTTGGGCCATCTTGGACCATCTCTTGATAGCTAAAGACGCTCGATTTGTCACAGGGATTATTTAGTAGAAATCAGGTGACTGCTACACGGGCAAAGGTTGCACAAATACTCTGAGAGTACGTTGTACCTTACAAAGCGGCCATAATTGTATGTATGAGAAACACCAATACGTGGACCTTACTGCAGTGTGACGCAGTGTACCCCTGTTACGCGATGATCCATACTGCGGGAAATCCGTGCGACACTTGCAGAGTCTCTCGTGTCAGGTTGGTCAATGGTTAGAGGGTTGAGCAACACAGCCCTCTGTCCCTTCAGTTGGGGGTTGGAACGTGTGTGGCGATTTGTTCTATAAAATGGTAATGCACTTGTATTTCCCGTCAAGTGGTCAGGCTTTTGAGCCGAATGCTTTGGTTGGGAACTACAATCGTCCTCCTGTCCGGATTTCAAGGTAGGACTAAATTCCTCGTTTTTGAGTGGAAGCGTTTTTCAGGTTGCAAACTTACGTTTATGCTGTGGTGCTATAGCTGGCGCGAGCAGATCATTGTTTTTTGGGCGACTCGCTCCACGCAGTTGCGCTGTAACGGGCGTCCATCAACATTTGGAATGTGTGTAAGGGCTGACCTAACTGTCTCATGCGACCTACCCGTCCAAAACTCGAGAGTGTGCATAGATCTATGCCTTTCGGTAGGGAAGCACTGATGTTGCTCACTAATGACGATGTAGATGTTGCGGCAACCAGAATCAACGTACACGCTTCATAGCTAAGAAACTGACCTGAGCCGAACTTAACTGGACAATTGGTCTAGGCGAGCTGAATGGGTTCGGTATACCGGTACTTTGGAATCTGGTTGTCTTGCTTGTGTTACCCCACCGATTCAAGAATATCCTTTGGCGTTCGGCATCAGTCGACAGATAGCCGCTGCTAAGTGAAATGACTGCAGCGGCGGAGCATCTAAAATGACCACCTTTTGCCTCTTTTGAGTTGTGGGTGTGTCCGATCAAGGAGCTGCGACTGCGGTCGTTTTCGGTTTTTAATCATTCTACAGAAGCCTAAACTCAGCCGAACAACTGAAGATTGGCAACTTGTTCGAAGTGTTAGTTTTGCACACTCGTGCTCATGTTATTTTTCATGAACTTGGTAAGGCAACGTTTTGTCTTAACTTGTCCTGTTGCTTGCACATCGTATACGGGATACACGTTCCATTCAATCATCGAGCTCATTTAGGTTGCAAACTGCGTGTTTTGATTTGCATGTCGTTTGCATACGGTGTGCATGTTTTTATAAATGACCAGCATTCGGTTTTTCGAGAATTTGAGGCACATCACACGGAGTAGTCAATTCGGTTACCGTTGAGTGTAACAGCAACTATCGTATTCTCGATGTCAGTTCCTAAGCAAGGAAGAACAAAGTGTGCCGTTAATACAGGGACAATGAAAGTGCGTGGAGTTATATGATATGATTAGTTGATAAGTGCGCGATAAGCCCAGGGCATTCGTTATAAGATACCCTCACACGCTTCTCCATTCGTCAGCGATCTAGTGTATGATGTCCTTGACAAGAGGCCTAATCGCCCTTTCTTCGTGTTACTGGTTTGTCCTGTATTGGACTATTGTGGCTTGAAAGAGGGAGAGATGTCTTCCCAGGCAGTATGTGAGTTCAACTGCGTAAGCTCATGAATCCTATTCTGTAGACATAACGACTTTTGGATATTTTGGATTTATGGACATTTGATTGAAACCATAAAAATTTTGACGATGTTATTCACCTGTGTCCTTCGAATGTCGTGTTTTTTTCAGAATCCAATACTCAGGCAATCACCACACGTCAGTCGGAATTACGTCTCTATCACAATTTAATTGTACAACAAATCAAAGATCTTCAGGGCCATCTGAAAGTTGGCGTGGTACCAAATATGGCGGTATGTACTCTTCATTTGCACTGTTTCTGACTTGGTTTTCTCACTTGACTCTTTGTCATCCCACATTGGCAATGGTAGGTTTAGACCCCAGTCGCCACTGGATATCTGTTCCATTTAGCTGTAGCAGCTTTTCAATGCCTACCTGCCATGCCAGGTTGCCCAAGGGGAAGTGGAAATGTAGAAGTCGGGTTCAAACCATGACCTTGATTCTCGGTTTTGTTTGCAAAGTTGTCTTTATGAGGAGCCGAGTACATTTGGTCGTATGAAAGCTTTCCTTTCACGTGAAAGGGAACTCCTGTTTGGGCATGGATCGTCTCTCGTCAGTGTGATTCACAACCCTTTCAAAGGGGTGTTTACTTCGCATGTACTACATATAATAGTGTGTTTGAGACAAATAAATGGTGAACTCCCCTCCTTTTCTTGAACCATCATTCAGAAAACTCAGACCTCTAACTTAACCACTTCTCTCTCAACATTCAACATTTTCACCGATGCATAAAATTTTTCTTCTTGCATTACTATGGGCAATCCTAGTTTCCTAAGCTGAAGCGTTTTTCGGCCCTTTTTTATTCTTTGATTCTATGGGGCGTTTTGCGTATTGTTCCATGAATTCAACCGTCCACCTCTTCATTCTTTGTAATTTTTCCAAATTACTAGTTTCGTGGTAAAATGTATTTGCTACTTGTATAGCGTGCGATTAAATCGGCCAAAGCAATGCTGACAAAGGCAAATCGCTTAAGAGAGGGAGAGGGAGGACAGGCAAGAATATACTTCGGAAGAAACGGTTCACTATCTCAAACTTATCGACCTGTTCCGTGCCTTCCTTTTTCATACGATCTTATGACTGCATACGACTGGTTTGCACCTGTAAACAGGTTGAAAGCGGTGCTGAGGTGCCGACACGCTTTCAACAACCGACGGAGTAGTGTCGTTTGAAAAAAAAACCGAAACTACTTTTCCAAACGGCGCGTCGTTCGAATCCCCACCGGCGCAATACTACCCAGTTTGTCTACTTTTTAACATTTATGAAAGGTAGGCAATAGTTTGCTTATTGAGTAATGTTCATGGCTGTTATCCGCTTGTGTCCATACGATCGTCCGAGATGGACCAAGTGGTTAGAGCGCGAATTTACTGACCGGAAGGTCCGTGGTTCGAACCCGACTTCTGTGTCTCCACTTCCCTGTCTAGGCTTGGGCGACCTGGTAGTATCCCAGCCTTCGTGCATCCTTCGTGTGACATGGCAACTAGGCCCTGAAAGAGTGCTACAGCTAGATGATATGATTTTTATACGATCGTGCTTGAGTTTGGCTAACAACTGACTCTGGACTTTGTCATGTGTATCACTTGGTCTTTATCATCCACTCAGCAACCCTCGCACTGGCCCGCAAATAACCTTGCCACATATTTGACCATGTGAGGGATCGTTTCTCGATTGCGGTAGATGAAACTGAGACGGAAAATGATCATCTTATTATGGCGTTTGTATGGACGCGGACCAAATCTGTGCATTTTCCAATCGACAAGCATACGGATATAGCACAGGCGTAAAGAAAGGTGGCATCAGGCCACCTCTGACATGCAGTTAGCCTCTGGTTCAGGACACCCCGAATAAGAAAACCCCCTGAACAAGGCAACAAGCTATGACCCATGAGAGACAGTTACCAGTCTTTTGTTATCCAAAATAGCCTCATTGTCGATCGCGATCTGATTCAAAGCTGTCGTTCCACATTCGTACGTACTCAAGACAAGCCGGAGGGATCCAGAAAATCAAAGCAAAGTCCAGCGATAATCAACCGGTTCGTCTGTGACAGATGGAATCAATTAGGTAAACGCATTACTCATGTTTTTTTCAGTGGTCTTTGATTAATCCAAGTTTGATCAGTAAAAAATCATGGAGATCCTCGGTCTGCTTGTACTTTGGAGATCAGCTGTTCTAGGGAGGTTGCGTATTAGCTTGTCCTGCATGGAACTAGGTCATCTGTTAGAGCACTGTTTAGTTGAGTGCGTAAACCTTTAATTCACCTTTAATCTATCGTAAGACTGTACAGCTCATTTGTAATATTTTGTCTAACGATTGGAAAAGTGCATCCCTAACCAATGTATTCAAGCTAGCGAAGTTCACCGATTGTATCACCTTTCAGATGTATACAAGGTGTATACAAGGTCAGCGCATTGCTTCGCTTGAAAGCGCGTTTCGTGCTGCGCTCAGGTGATGCACCCACTGGCCATTCACACATTCACTGATTGTGAACAAATCACCAACTTGTGAATGAAAAATTCAATAAATAATGACAGCTATCTGGCTTGTGGTGCCATGCAGTTCGATGTGACACAGTTTGGCTACCAGAGCGTTTCTGCTTCATAAGCAGAAGTGTTAGGTGATTTTTGGGGGTGGGACGGAACCTAGTTTTCCGCTTCTTACAAACAATTACGCTATGTTGTTTAAAGTTGCTTTCACTTGCTTAGCCGACTGCAAGCAGAAAGACGCTTTAGCAAGCCAACTCTCCACGAGCAACTTCAGGTGAACAATGAAACAGACCTGTCCGAAAAACGTTGCTATCCTGGTGGATACTAATTTTGAGTTCTCGAAGGTCTGTCAGTGACGCCAAGAGGTTCTGTCATGTGATCAGGTTTGGCATCAGGCGCTTTGAAAATCGGTTGGTGCTGACCTTGTGTTGCTATGGTGTGGCGCTTGATATTCTTGTCAGGCAATCGAGTTCTGCTTCCCTAGCTTTCATGTTATTGTTTTTTTCTTGGAAATCAAGTCACTTGTCCACCAGTTGACCCTCAGTATTTGCTGTGTTTCCATGTGTGCGCCGATGGTTTTGCTTCTTGAGATTTCTCACTGTTGGGTTGCTTTCACATTCAGTTGATTCTTTTCTCCTTCTGGACTTTCTTTTCCGTGTGTTGATACGTAGTGTGTGTGTGTGTGCGCGGATGGCGGGTGAAGATCAGCACCAAATTGACACAATCGATCGCGCTGTTCTACTGTCACTCTATGGTCATACCTACAAAACACCGTCTGACTTTCCTGCCGCTGCATTCTTTTCTACATCGTCCTTACTTTTTCACTTGATAGGCATGGGTTTCTAGGTACCATTGGTCAATAATACCTAGCTCGTTATTCCATGCTTTCAGAGAATCGATGAAATAACCGGTACGCTGAATGCTGCATGCACCACCTTCCTCGCCACAATCGACGATCTGATGTCCCTAATTCAACCAACGAACGCTCCCCTTAGTGGAAGTAAGGTTGCGCAATCTGCCGACGACCCACTGTCTGGATTCCCCAGTCCACAATCGTTTGTGCGTGGGAGCGTTGTGGGTCCACCCAGTGCGGGTCATTCACCCGTGTCGTGGAAGTATGTTTGTCTATCCATGAGTTATTGAACCCTTCTATGACACACACGACGCATTTATTGAAGTATTGTTTTGTATACACTATTCCTTGTTTGAAGTGACAATTGCCCATTTGTGTTTTATGTACTCTACCATTTGACCATGTGGCACACTATGTACAATGAATTTGACAAGTTTAAGAGATGTACCAATGAATGGAATTACCCTGTTCACAGTCACCCCATCGTTGCCTGTCGGGCTTCCAAACGGTCTGAAATTACGTGCTGTTGACCTTCTAGAGAGAGAGAGAGAGAGAGAGGAAGCACGTTCAAGGCTACGGTCATCGTACCATTTTGGATAACAGTATAAGATTTATCAGGGCTTTCAATGTAAGGGTATCAGTTACCGTCATCAGGGTTCTGACCGTGTCAGTTCCGTTAGATGAGCAACAACCTAACGCCAGTCTTCCAAAGTGACTCGAGGTGCTTAACCAAGATAATCGGGATGGAACTTGACAGAGCAGAGATGACATAGGTTACCTCGTCATATCTGTGGCCAACGTAGACCTGGAAGGCAGACAGAACCCGCACTTTTCTTCCTTCTCTCTTTTCAAACCACATTTTTATTTTGGACGTGTTTAGCGTAACCGCCTCATACAAAGGTCATCTGGCATGTTAACCTTTGTGTACAACGCAATGTACTATAACTCCTCTGCCCGATAAGTATGAAGCAAGCATTGAATTACCGACGCCAGTTGAGGGGTCGGGATCTGTGTGATATTGTCGCCCAAAACACGTGTTTCATATTGCTTTAAGTTCATCAGTTGGAGTTGTCAGACCATACCAATTGCAGCCGTTCGCGCTCGACGAATATGATCTCACCTTTTCACCATATGATCAGAACGGTCCGAAGCCCCCCAAGACGCATACCATCATCCCCTACGTAATCGTCGATGACAGCAAAATGCCTCGAGAGCAGTATGTTGAACGTGTGTGTTGAATGCAAGTACTTCCCATTAGTAGCAGCTTACAGTACAAATGGGATAGTTCACTCAACTGGGCCAAAAATCCAGTTGGGCTACCAAGTCCGAAACAGCTTACGGAATTCTTGTGTTTGGTTCTCCAATGAGATGATGTTCTTATCTACTGAGAGGGAACGAGATAGCTCAAGTGGTCAGAACGTGTATTTACTGGCTGGGAGGTCCGACCTCTGTCTCTCGACTTATCCTGTCTAGGCTTGGGCAACCTGGCAGTATCCCAGGCCTCGTGGCATGGCAGCTAGTCACCGGAAGGGTGTTACAGCTGAACGATTTTTTTTATCTACTGAGGGAACAAGGGATGGGTACGACCATTTTGACGGTCCGGGTTCTATCCCTCCTTCTAGTCCTGTTCTCCCTCATGTTTACACCGAATATCTCACTACTTAGTGCTCCTGGGTGATTACAAATATGCTTTTCCCAACAAGACACCACGGAATTGGTTCCTAACCTTACAAGGTGTAATTCGACTGGATGTAGACGGTTTTGAAAACGTTGCACTCTGTCTGTGTGTGATGTGTATATCCGTCATCGCTAGTTCGTCGTGTCCATGGTGTTTAGTGTTGCTCCTCGCGATTGGTATGTCCCTCTAGACAAGAAATAACGTGAAGGGAGGGGGTGGAATCCGTACAGCTATTGAAACAGCGCGCTTGATGAGGACCGCCCTTACCCTGATTATGCTGGTATCATAGAATAATACATATTCCAGCTACCGGTGAATTGGCTACCAAACGCATGTTCTGCTCAGTTGGGCACTTGCCTTCAGCATTCTGATCACACGAGTTACCAAACGTGTTGTCAGCACTTTTCCTACTCTAGCAAACATTTTTCGCGATTGGTTGAATATATCTCAAACCCCCGAAAATGATTGCCTTGTTTCAACACATTAACATGGTGGTATCTTCCCTGCCCTTCACCCACGCTAGGGAGGCTCGATATCAAGGGGGGAAGGCATAAAACGCAATCTTGTTACGTACCTTTTGAAGCGTGCCCAACTGATTTGAAACGGTTTATCAAGGCTGTATTAGTGGGATACTCACATGTTCCGTTCAGAATGTATCCAAAAATCCAACAAACTGATGGTGGTCAAACTTATTTCACAATTCCGAGGCTACCTTGCCCGGTAAAACCTGTGGTTCGGGCGCAAGTTTTTCTTTCCAAGGCCAGTCTATTCCGCAAACATTCAGTCTAGATTCAAACTTTCAAATATCTGAAGCTTAAGCGGGGTATTCCTGAGTCGGTGATTATATGTAGTATCCAGAGGAACAACAGCATTAGCCCCCTTCGCACTTCCTCTCGTCATCCAGCTTGTAAAAAAAAACTGTCCAAACTGAATGAATCGGGAAGGCAACTGCGTCCTCTCTATTGAGGGGGGCGAGACGGCCCAAGTGGTTAGAGCGTGAATTTACTGACCGGAAGGTCCGTGGTTCGAACCCGACCTCCGCCACTCGACTTCCCCTGTCTAGGCTTGGGCAACCTGGCAGTATCCCAGACCTCGTGCTTCCTTCGGGTGGCATGGCAGCTAGGCACCGGAAGGGTGCTACAGCTGAACGCTTTTTTTCTTTCTCCCTATTGATAGTGATCCTGTCTCCCAGTCTCATATCTACTCACTGACATAAAAAGTCTAAGATTACTTTTTACTATGGATGGTCCCGAATTCCTTTGAGTTCTTGAATGAGGGGCGATTTTTGGAAAGCTCCCGTAGATGTGGTTTATGACCAATTCATTTTTCGTTCCCCTCTGTTTCTATCCCAGAACAGATAGTGCTCTGCACACTTGGTTCCCGACAGACAGGGCAGGCCTTACGGCCGTCGGAACGATGAACAGCCCGAGCGTCAATCCCAGTTTGTATCGTTCAAATCGTTCAAACAGGCTACACAAGACGTTCTTCTCAACCATGAAATTCAGGTAATCACCGGTCACGGTTGTTTTTCATCTTCAACCTTATATCGTCCATGAGTATTCATTTTCCCATTCTATTAGTTTGCTTGTCTGACTACAGCACTTCTGCCTTATGTGAATGCTCACCAGTCTCGTTTCATCTGTATCTATTTGTCCTACTTTTAGCGTTGGATCGTTAGTCATCCCTACTCAACTTCCTGCTTAGTTTTGTAGATTTGCGTCCGAATATGTCGGCTCAATTAGACCAGTCCAACAGTCAGTTGCCGGGTGATTTTCTCTCCGCCCTTGACTTTGCCAAGGCTTGCCGTTCTCTTTTCCGCATTTTCGATCGTATATCTGACTTCTCAGCGACGGACGCAATGATTGGTCGGACGTTCGCCGCATTACAGCAAGTCCAGGCCGACTTGTTGGGCAATCTCGAACGTCTGGAGATGGCCATTCAGGTCTATACGAGCCAGAGATCCGCGAGAGATCAAAATGGCCATGATCAACCACCATGCGAGCCGCCAGATTCATCGACGATTAGTATAGGTACCCTACTCAGGAACGATCTGAAGAATGATAGAACAGCGGATGCAGCCTCCTTTTACAAAGCCATTCTCTGGTTGTCCAGGTGAGTACAGTTTCGAAAAATTGGCTGACCCGATTGCGTTGATTGGTTGTCGATCGGGTCGCTCTTCTGATAACCGGATTACACCATGCATTCACGGAGTTCTCAGAGGTCTCATTTTTGTATACTACGCTGTTCACTAAAACAGTGGGAGCACGCTGATACAAGAATTTTAGCATACATGTGATCCGTTGCTTCATTCATCGGAGGTTTTTCGGCTCTTTTACAGCATGCTGCCTTTGTTATTAAATTCCTACCGCTGGAGCACATCAAAACATGTCCGTCATGCGCTTCGGTCGATAGTTTCTGTTCAACCACAAATGGTCCAGCTCGACCGCGTAGGGAGTCCCGGCTGTAGTCATCTTCCTTAGTGTCTACGCTAGTCTACACTAGCATCTCTTTGTTCAGTTGTAACACCGTTCCGGTGCCTAGCTGCCATGCTACCGGAAGGAAGCACGAGGGTTGGGATACTGCCAGGTCACCCAAGCTTTAGACAGGGTAGTCGAGAGTCAGTGGTCGGGTTCGAACCACGAACCTTCCGGTCAGCAAATTCGCGCTCTAACCACTTGAGCCATCTCGTCTAGCATCTCTTGCATCCCTTTGGATCAATTTGGGATGACCATCTGCTTTATCGCTGAGGGTAGACCCTGGACGAATTTACCCGCGATCGCGTCTTCACGAACCGAACCCGTTAGGAGCCCTCTTCTATGCCCTCTCGCGCACGTAACACCACCAGTCACGTACCGATTTCTTCAACTGCACTTCCATGTTTGATAGAATCTACGTCGGGGTTCGCAAGTTCTCCGGGGCTTATTCCATTCCTCTACTCTGCAATGTGGATCACTGGTCTCCGTAGAAGTACACCGCACGTTATCAGGATGATGGATAACTGTCGGTCATCATTGCAAAATAACGGACGTAAGAACCAACCAGACCGGCCTGATGTCGATCACGTCGAAGTAAGATTTTGTGGCAACGTATAGTAAGGACGTTCCGCTGGCTGCATCTGCACAGAACACGTGTTCTGTGATATCGTCCCTCTTCGTTTCGCGGGTCGAAACCCTATATCCTGATCCTTACTATTCTTGTGTGCATAATTTACGCGACAACGATGCTTAGAGACTGTTACGGCCAACCATATGCACTGCCTCTGATAGTCGTTCGTAGCTGTCTCTATACGACCTGTGCTGTTTAACTCACCTACTTCTGATGGAACTCTGGGTTTCAAGGTTACCCAAAATGGCACACCCGGATCTGGAGTAGGGATTCATGAACGGTTTCATAACACTTGAGAAACTCTATGATCACAGACTAAGCCAGCGTTGACGGAAACGCGGAGCTGGTGGAGCATAATGGCCCAGCCACCCTGGCTTTTAGTGCTGAATGCATTCTTCGAGGTAATCACCCTCTGCTTAACCGAAAACGCGTATCCTGATCACCTCATTGCGAACTCGTTAGTTCCTGTTTATTCCAGCTGTAGTTCTGAGACATTGGTGCTCGAAGACCTAAAATGTACTCCCCTCGAGGTGGTCGGGTGACGCACTCATAAATTCTGGCGCATACCCTATCGCACATGCATGTTGAAAAGGACTAACCAGTCGACAGAATGGAACGCACTCTTGAAGTGAAGAGATAACAAGGTTTTAGGGCGCCTGTATGCATGTCGTCGCTCTAACACTCAGTCTCCTCCCCGCCAGAATCCTGCTTGCTATTTTCGGATCCCGTTGTCACGCGTGTTCGTAAGACGACGTAAAATAAGCGATGCAGAGTCTGGTCCGTCACGAACAGACGACCCTACAATGATGCGACGGCTTGTGTACCTCTCATTGACCTGTACTGGGGTTGTCCATGCGACGCTCGCAGGTTGGTCAATCGTTAGAGATCTGACCAACACGGACACCTGGCTTTCCAGATCAGGGATTCGAACATGTGTGGCGACTTGTTCAATAGAAATGATAATGCTCTTGCCTTTCCGCTAAATACTGCTGTCTTGTGGTCAAGCTTTAGAGCCAAAGGCTTTGGTCGAGGACCCTAATCTTCCTCCTGTCCAGGTTTGGGTACCTTGGTTATGGCGCCAGCTTACAGACCTGAAGGTCCGGGTTCGAACCCAGCCTCAGTATCTTGATGGCTCCTGTCTAGGCTTGGGCAGCCCGGCAGCATCCCATCCTTCGTGCTTCCTTCTTTTGTCATGGCAGCTAGGCACCGAAAGGGTGCTACAGCTGAACGATTTTATTTTGATTTTATTTTGTATAATTTAAACGTGCAGTTTGTCGCAACTCTTCAAAGAGGTAATCAAACAAATTGGCCGAGCAGTTTTTGTTCAAATCTCCGTAGGGGCTTGCAAGCAACCTAACTGTGAGACCATCGTAAACAGCCTTGTGAAATTTCGACAGGTAATACAGTGACGATGAGTTTTTGATGAAGTTTTGAGCAACGATACGGTGAATAGCTATCATGCTCTATCTTTCTACAGATCTTAGTGCTTCGGTTCAAACTATGGAATGACGTTCTTGCAACCTTAGTCCAAACGATTTAATCGCATGTACAAAAAGGCACCCGATTTTTAAAACGCACCATCTACCTGATTGTGAGATATTTACGTGCCGCTTATCCTTAAACTAATAATCGAAATCACCAATCAACTGATGATGTTTTCAGTTTCTTCAATACGGACCGACACTGGTAAGCATGTACGTGTTTGAACTCCATTTTCGGTGTTCAGCTGAGTATATCCCTCCCCAGACGACGAAACCGCTGACGCGGGGGCTAACAAAGTACCTACCGGCGTGGTGGAGAGACAAAAGCATGGTCGTTGGCTTGTTCGCTGAGCTGGGCAATTTGATTGCAAACGTTTCATCACCAATCGAGGTGACATCATCAGTGCGTTATTGGGGAGCGTAGTTGTGCGTAGCGGTGGGTTAGTGGTTGACTCAACGCACAACCAATAACGCACTGATGATGTCACCTCGATTGGTGATGAAACGTTTGCAATCAAATTGCCCAGCTCAGCGAACAAGCCAACGACCATCTAGGCTACCTGAGCTACCGACATTCTCCTCTATAGAAAGACAAAAGCATCTCAAGTGCCGTTCTCGAGTCCTCGATTACTTCAAATCACGTTATTGAACCGGATTGTTTACCGAGTAACTTAGTACAAATTCATGTGTGTCATAGACCCTTAAGCCCAGCTGATGCCGCTGCTATTTGCATTCGCTTCTTGCTCTAGACCCTAATAGGCGAAAACACTTTTATCCAGAGTCTGTTGGACCGAAAACACTCGGCTGTCTGTGCAAACGATTCATTATCCGTACACGTTTAACTCACCAGAGATTTATTGACGTCAGCGGTCTGTCGCCTAACCGTTACGGGTACCTAACTGATTGTTTCGATTGTTTTTTTCATTGTATCGTTTGTTGCACTGCCATTTTGATCGTGTGTGGAAATTGAAATGATTGTTTGACTTCAAACTTTGATCTCGTCAGGTTGACGATGTTTAGCTTTCGTTGCGGACCACGCTTCAATGCAGTTTGTTTCAGCTGCATGCCATCGGTTCCAATGCGAGACTGCACGGTATGGTCTCTCGGAAGATCACCATAGTTCTTCGTTGGAAATTACAATTTCCCATTGTGAGAGTCATTTTCATACAATGGTCAACGACTTTCCAACGGACTTTTTACACTCAGCAATGGAATTCGGTGAGATATTCGGTGGTCAATGGTGTGACGCCCCCCTGAAACCGCGATGTGAGTTTCATAGACTGACTAGATAGTCAAATGAGATTCTACCGGAGTCACGTGCACTGGGATTACGCATTATCAAGCTGGATGCAGTAGGCGAGGTGAACTAGATTCGCGCTAATCAGCTGATACCTCGCTCAATTGTACTGCTTTTTATATACCGAATCGGGTGCTCACTAGTCGACCCGTTAAGTAAAATTGTCTGTAACGTAACTGTGAACGGCCTCGTAAGTGTTCTGTGGCAGAGTTTCTGTAAAGCTTACCTGTGCTTGGGTTAAAAGTTTCACCCGTTCGAAATGAAAGCTTGGTGAATTCAGAGCATATTATCAAGTACCTTATAGTAAGTTTTTAAGTTCAAGGCAGTGTTGTGTGAATAAAACTATCTCGGGTTACCGAGGTAGCAGATACTCTCAGACTACGTTCTTCGGGTCATGAGGTGTGGAAATCCCGTTCCGACGCGTCATTCGGTCGTCTCAACTTCACTTACAATCTGTTTTTTTTCCGGCTACTTTCACAGGTCGCTCAACTTTGTTCGCGAGTTCCTTCATTTGCTCTTCACCCTTCCACCTCCTTCCCCTGACGATGTCGCGGACAGAAGAGGGGCAGTGCAGGACGACAGTTTGAGTGTGGCAGCCACAGAAGCCTACTCTCGCTGCTTGCGGTCGTTCCATCAGTGGTCACTGAGAGGAGTCGCAATGGTTAGTTCTTGCATCTCACCGTATTCCACATGGCATCCGTTTGACCGTCTTGGGGTAAAACTCGATATTCTTGGTGAAGTCTGTGTTCGTACTCGGAGAATTCAGGTTGATTCACTGAAATCCCGTCAATCAACTTGACTGGCTCTTATTGAATTCGTATGTACGCACACCCTGAGCATACCGCTCATCTGTAGCCTCACCATGTGAATTCCTACCGCGAAACCCGTCCTAAGCACGAATGTCAGGTAGTCTGCGGCTGGGCCAAATCAGCCAAAAAGTCAGGTCTCGAATCATGGACTTTCTCGTCCTAAAACCGAAACAGTTAACACCCGTTCAATCAACCTAACTCTCATAGTATTATTGGCGGAACAGATGGTTCCGCGGCAATGCGAACTCTATCTCGGACAAAGTTGATCTTGTCACGATGTGAAGGTGTGTGCCCTTCAGCAACTCGGGATGCGCGAATACTAAGCACAGTTTTACTCTTATCAGGCTGGTCTACAGATGGAAGCCTCCTTGGTTGAGAACTGGGACAGATATGGCGAACGGTTCCTGAGCAGGACTCTCGTATTCGTCGTGCACCAACCACAGTGTTCGTGCACGACGATGAGTCTAATGGCTGATCAGTTGTTACTATGGGCTTTGCGGCCAATGCTGTTTGAACACCTGTTTCGCCCCCAGCTTCTACGCTTAGAAACCGTTTGGATTTACGGAACAGCGCAAAAGTACCTTTCAAGTGCGGTATACGTCTCGCAACATTAGCCTTATTTTTGAGTATTTCTGCTGAGACCGCCAGTATGCGCTAGCCATACGGACCGCTGCTGTTTGGGGCTCTGAGTACTCTGCCTTCCCCATCCTTCTTAGTTCCGGAGTACTAGGGGCAAACCTCATGAAACGGCGAGATGGCCCCAGTGGTTAGAGCGCGAATTTGCTGACCGGAAGGTCGGTGGTTCGAACCCGACCTCTGCCTCTCGACTTCCCCTGTCTA